TATCTCTGAGAACGTGAGTATCTATTGGTATTGAGCATCACCTCTCTAAGGCGACCACTTGCAAAGATGAATTTTTATTTGCGGCTGGTCGCCTTGGAGAGACCTCGTTGTGTGTGGTGTATATGATTACTGTTATTGTTTCCGAAAAAAAAATTTAAATCAAATAAATAAGCATATTAGTAAAAAACCCTCTCTAAAACGACCACCTGCGTTTCCAGGTTACTCTGGTGGTCTTAAAGAGATCATATTTTCATTCTGTTAATTTTATTGTTTACAAGAAGTATATTAACGTCAGATAAAAAAATAGCATAAACCCATATAAACCAACAGAAGATTTATTTTATATTGATACCAGTAAGAAAACCAGTAAAAGTCAATATAAACCTATACAAACCAGTACAAAGTTCTGCCATTGAAATGTTGGTTGTATGGGTGTCAATTGATACCAGTAAGAAAAACCCACAGAGATCAATAGAAACCAGTAAAAGTCAGTAGAGACCATCAAAAATTTTATAGGTACCCGTAGAAAGTTTTATTGGTTTTCTATGGGTCATTTGAAAACCAGTAAAAAAAACCCACAGAGACCAAGAGAAACCAGTAAAAGTCAATAAAAACCCATAAAATCTTATGGGTACCCATAAAAAGTTTTACTGGTTTCTATGGGGCATTTTTAGTAGGGTATTTTGAAGCAGAAGACATGAAACATGAGCAATGCCCTCTTCGGTACTCGATCCTGGACCACTCGAATACACGCCGAGTGTGGTAACCGTTACACCAGGAAAGCACGCTGAAATGGGAGAGAAAACAGTCTTATGTAACGTTAATCCTATGCAGCATTCTTCATATATTTATATGTAATATAATGGCCGAGGCAACAACTGGTGAAAATAGTGTTATTTTTCAGTATTCCTGTCTGATGAAAATCTAATGCCTCAGGCATATTAAAGCGATCTCCCTAGTTTATAACCAATAACATTTTGAATTTATTCTTTCTTCAGAGGCAAAGAAGTTTTTATCTCATTATTATGAATTGTTAAATTTTGAAATAATAATATTATTATTATTTTTTTAATGTGGCAACGCGCGCTGAGTATTCTGTAACACGGCAAAGAAGCGGAAGAAGTGGAAACAAAAAGCTTTATTCCATGCCTGAAGTATTTTGCTTGAAGCTGCAGCAAAAGGTGGCATCGGAGAAACTTTTCCTTTCATGTTATGCCGCTAGCAATAGCGAGGTCAACAAAAAGCTTTACTTAAGTGCTTTTAAATTCAAGTCCATTTCTGAAAGCAAGTAACGAGGCAAATATATTTAGAAAAGATGTGCCTAAGTATAGAACTTCGGTCTAATTTTTCATAACCATATTTAAGGATTTTAGGCGGAAAAAAACGGAATATGCTAACTATTTTTCTTATAAATTTTTCCGGTTATTAATTGCAGCCATTTTTTTCCATGAATCTGGAGACATAAAATCCCACTGTGCTTTCTTATTCATGATTCTGATTAAACTGACGATAGATAAAGGTTTTAGAAGGCATTTCTCAATACAATGATTTTATTCTAAGGCTATTGCTCTTTGTTATTCAACTGAAACCTCAACAATAATCTTATCGCGGTATGTATTTATTGAATATCCTACGATAAGACGAATTCTAGGAAGATGATACCATCTTTTATACCATCTAGCGTTTGTTTTTGCACTTCATTTTTGAACATAAGGAGGTTTCAGTAGAAGAATATCAAAATATAAAAAACTACAACACCGTTCAAATAAAATAAAATAAAAAACAAAGTACAGCCCTTGTGGACATTATCTTCCTAAGGAAATCACCTCTGAAAGTGACCAGCATTTTTGAGAACATAAATAAACTTTGATCCTGGAACACTACCTCTCTAATACTGTAAGGATCCTAAGTTTTACTAACGTTTATTTTATTTTAAATCTTTACTATCACTTCTTTTTTTCTACTTCCGGCCAAAATTAAAAGCTTTTAACTTATTTGTGCAAATTTGTCTTGCGAACGCCAGGTACTTAAGTTGTGGATTTTTGCCAAGCAAGAGAGAGGAAGGAGTTATTAGAAGCAGGCCGCTTGCCATAGTAGTTTTACTCGGTTGCTGGTTGCCTTCAAGGCCAGAGGTTTTAATCCTCTTGATAATTTTAAACGTATCGTAGTGTTAGCAGTTCTCTGTACTACATACGGCTTTTGTTAATATACGGCCAATCTTGGAGTTAGGCACTTGTTTGATTAATCCAAAGTTAGTTTAGTTAGAGTTTAGTTAATATTTTTATATTCTTACGTTCAGACCACAAGTGGTTGGTCTCTGTGTTCCGAAGTCCGGAAATCATTGTAAAGAGAGAAAAATAAAGGGTTTCGTATACCCTTCCTGTGTGTATTGTCTACTTCCCAAATTTATTGAACATAGCTTTAGTAAGCTCCATGTTCCGAGTCAGGACAGTTAATGTTCCCAAAGCAAGTAAGGAGGAACACAGAACCTGATAATACAACCAACCTGACACACTTTTCTAAGACGACCAAAATGATACACAAAATACGACCACAGAAGGTCAAAAATCCCAGGAATTGTAGATGGTGTCCTAGAAGAATTTATTACATAGAAACACTTGTTATCTATAGTACTACAAAATTTCATTACACCATAACGTTTGATTTGAACAATGGACGCGAATTCAAAATTTTTACAATCGACCTTTTGTAGGTTATTTAAAACCAATTTTATTTATGTATAAAATAACATTTTTTTTTCTAAATAACATTAAGAAGTATAGATAAGATAATTTTTTAAATGATCTACTTAGGTTGTGTTGAGCAACGTATTTTGATAATGATGACAAAAGAAAGATTTTTAGCTACCGTCAATTGGCGAAAACTTCTACTTATCGCGAACATGATTTTATTGAAGCTGAAAATGATATCAGTTCAATTTTTTTTTCAAGGTTGAATATGCATTATTCTATTTTACGAAAAAATGCGGTTTATCTGAACTAACCGGGGCAAACAAAGTTCGGATATAACACGTTTACCAAGTAACTCATGAGAATTATTTTCAATAATTAAAGGTAGAAGTTAATATTGTTGCGTGCGTACGGGTTCGTAATAGATTGAATGCACAAGTCCGATAATAAGTTAATAAAAATTTATTTTGATCAAAAGAAAGATTTTAGAATTCTGGAATTTTCCACAGAAATATTCTTACAAGTGTTCACAGTATCACACACTATAATCCAGGGCTTCCCAACATTTTTGTCTCGAAGAGCACATTCTAAGATATATGTTCGACGGCGGGCTCCATTTACTTTTTCAAAGTGAATTTACAGTTGAATAGGGTTAATAATACATGCACATAAAAAATCGCATTTCTCTTTGTGCTGGTATCTGTGATGGACGCAATTTCTATTTCCTTAAACAATGAGAAAATTTTCACTTTGAAAACTAAAACATTTTTTATTGTGATCGCACAGCTGCGGGCACACGTTAAACGATCGGCGGATGCCATGGTTCCTCCGGAACTCCTGGTATAATCAGTAGTTACACTACTTCTACAAACTACTAAGAACGTTAAGGGGACTCATACACCTTAAACCCTTCATGATCTTCGAATATGTGACTGTTGCAAGAATTGGGATATTTTATTTATTTTAAAAACAATTATTCCAACCTTACAGCTGACTAATAATATAGAGATTCGAAATAGTACCAGAAAGTTGTGTTGCACAAAGATTTTGTAATTCATCATCTTGTGCAAAAATTCGCCCTGTTTCCACTAGCGCGCAGAATTTAAAAATGGTAATGGTAATACTGAATTAAATGAATTCTTATGAGCACTATTTGAACGAACCAACATTGACAAATATAATATTGAAAGTTTATGGACGAAAAATACAAATTTTGTTAATAAATACATTTTAAAACTCAACTCAAAGTAAATAAAATTGAACATGAATTTTAGAAGTTTAGGTACACCGTAGTTCAAGGGTTATAAAAGCTAATATTAAATATGAATTAAATTATGAAACAGATGTTTTAAACTGTGCGCGCACGTGGAAACATGACGAAAAATGTGTACAAACGGATTAAATTATAAAAATATTTGTGGCAACACAAACTTTCTGATTACTATCTGATTACCCTTCTCCCCTTAAACCAAACCACATAAGAGGACTTTTGGCTGACCGACCGGAGTGCCGAACTTTTGGAGCGCCCCCTTGCTGCAAAGACATTTACAAACATCCATGCCTTGAATTGAAATAGTAATGGAAACTGATTACTATATAAAAAATTACTGATTACTATGTAATAATTATAGTAGTATTATATCCTATACAACTATGTATAGCATACTATATAACTATACATAGTATATTATATTATTAGCAGTATACTATGCAGTGCACATAGTAATGAGTTATAGAAGCATATTATTACATAGCAATTATTAATTACTACATATAAGATTAAATAATAAAGTGCATTCATTCATAAACAAAGAATTAATAAAAAAACATTTACTTGGTCTAAAAATGTAAGGGAAATAAAGCACACGAAAAATAAAGGTCACAAAAAGGCACACGAAATATAAATCAAACGCACACTTCGTGACACTTTTTGTCACAAAAAGGCACAAGAAATACAAATCAAACAAAATTTTAATTATTGCCATTACTGTCTTTGGTTAAGAGACCATCATCATAACAAAGAATGACAATGAAATCTAGAAACACAATTAAGAAAAAGAAAACATTGCGCTTCATCTGTAAAACACAAAATTTAAATTTAAATAATTACTGCCTTTGGTTATGAAAACAAGGAGTAAAACGGGAAGAAGTTTAACAGAATGTGCTTCTTCCAGAACACGAAACAAATATGAAGTTAAAATTTCAATTGCTTAATACTGTTTTTAATTCAATGAATAGAGAGGCTATCGCAGCTAGGAACATCAAGATCTTAGAAGAAGCGATTAAAAAAAACGAAAGCATCGCTCTTACCTCTGAAACAATTACTTTAGAAACACGTGGAAAGTCAAGAAGAGCAAGAGAGAAATGTTTTCACTCCTCAGCCTCGACCAAAGACACACCGGCAGTGCGGTGCATCGTTCGGAAGCTGGAACAGAGAACGTTCTAACTCAGCCACGGTTACGGGGAAAGCGAACGTGGTTTCATTGTCAGACGAAGTGATGACTGTTTCGTTCATTGACTTAAAAGGGGAAAAGGGGGGGGGAGTTGTTTCGAAATGCATACTATTCGTTCTCGCGTCTAACCTCTAATGACGTAGCTGTTTTTTTTTTTTTTTTTTTTTTTTTTTTTTTTTTTTTTTTTTTTTTTTTCCTTTTTTTTTTTTTTTTTTTTTTTTTTTTTCTAGTGAATAGTAGTAGCGGAAGCTCTACGCAGTTTTATTTTTGTTTGTTTGTTTGTTTTGTTTTTTGAGGGGGGATGTCTAATCTGACACACATATATCCGTTTTGTGCAATTCGTTACGTTTTTTTTTAATTGAGCTTGGACGGCAGGCTTTATTTTGTTTTAATTTTGTGCTCTGAGGGCAACTGGTTAAAGAATGTGTGAATTAGGTCCATGGATAGCTTTCTGATTTGTCGTCAAAGTGACGCAATCAGCACTTTTAGTTTTCAATTAATTATCGGTTCATTCATTTCACGCAGTGACCCACCTAAACAAATTGGTCATTAATTAAAAACAAAATATTGGAAATCTCGAGCAGTCAGAATGACAGAAATTGTGTTGATATTGGGAATTTTCCGTTTCGAAGTTTTCTTGGGAAAATAAATGAATAATAATTTATGCTGTATAATATGTGTATACCGGCCGCCCAGACGATATAGTGGCTAGGGGAGGTAAACCGCTGAGTTGGCTTCCGACCCAGGTATACATATATCCATGCAGAATTGGTTACAAATCGGCGGGCAACCATAGCTACTAGGCCGCAGCCCTGGGCAACCCGGCAAGAAGACGACATTTATAAATGCAAAAAAGAGATAACATGTGCTACAAGGCATTGAAGAAGAGTAAACAATGTACAAAGAAATATATAATGTGCACAAGCACTGAGAAGGTAAAATATATGTATATACATATAAATACAAACTCATATACAGATATACTATACACACTTACATACATAGATAATCCGAAACAAATAAAAGTAAGGGAGCCTAACTGCGATACCAAAGGGCCCGGGTTCAAATCCGGGAGAAGGTATGGATGTTAAATTGTCTGTGGAGAGCAGCGGAGGCCGCCTGTTAGGTGTCACCACAATAAAATAGCCACCACTCCTGAACTTAGTCATCGCGGGCAGTTGCCTATAATGGCCAGTCCCATTATAGGCAAGTGCCCGCGATTGGGAAAAAAAGTCTTCAAATGAATGACTTCAAAAGATAATTGCAGCGCACAAATATCTTTCACGTTTCTTCGTAAAGAAAAGGTGAATATACATAAAATTATACGGTGAATATACATAAGTACGGCGCGTTATACGGCGAATATACATAAAAATGAATAAATGTAGTTTATTCATTTTTATAATTATTTAAATTTTAATTTTGTGTTTTAGAGATGAAGCACAATGTTTTCTTTTTCTTAATTGTGTTTCTAGATTTTATTATCATTCTTTGTTATGATGATGGTGTCTTAACCAAAGACAGTAATGGCAATAATAAATACTTAAAATTTTGTTTCATTTGTATTTCGTGTGCCTTTTTGTGACCTTTACTTTTCGTGTGCCTCTCAGGTCCTTATTTGCCTTACATTTTTAGACCAAGTAAATGTTTTTAATTAATGCTTTGTTTATGAATGAATGCACTTTATTATTTAATCTTTATATGTAGTAATAATTACAATGTAATAATATGCTTCTATAACTCGTTACTATGTGCACTGCATAGTATACTGCTAATGGTATAATATACTATGTACAGTTATATAGTATGCTATACATAGTTGTTTAGGATACAATACTACTATAATTACTATATAGTAATCAGTAATTTTCTATGTAGTAATCAATTTCCATTACTATAGAAATTATAGGTGCGAGTTACACGGCGAATATAACTAAAAATGAATAAACGTAGTATGAAATTATAGTTGTGTATGTGTTATACACCGGGACGCGTTATACTCGGGAATATGAGGTATTTATTGTAAATACGGTGTTGGAAGGATTTCAAGATTTTAATTATTAGAAATCCGAACTGATATTACTTTCTTTTCCTCTGAAAACGAGCATGAATAACGCACCAGAAAATCTAAAAACAGAGCTAGTTAACTTACAAAACGATATAAATCTTATTCAAAGATTTAATTAGTTTTATTTCTTACTTATCAAAAGATAAATAAGCTCAATTATGAACTTTTGCACTCGCTTTGCTTGGGCATATACTTATGTGCGAATAGCTTTTTTGCACATTTGAAAATCTCTACATATAATAAAAGAAAGAGTCTGTTTGTGTGTGTCTTTCGTTCTCGCTGCGCGTAAGCTAATAGACCCACGGCTACGAAATTTGGTACATAGGTGCATCTACACAAGAGTAAGTGCATCTCGAAGCGATTTTTTCAAAATTCGAATTCGAATTTTTTTAATTTTATGTTTTGTGACGATATCGCGTCATTTTGAGACATAATTTGCTATAGGAGAAAGAGATTTTACTCTACACACTCCATTTTCACATCGTCATGAAACGTAGACACTTAGCTATTTTACGAACTTAAAATAAATTTCGTGTTTCAATAAATCGATTCAATACGAATTTATTTAACAAAGAGAGCTTAACACCTTTTCAACGGGATATTTTCTAAAAAGTTTATTTTTAAAAATGTACAGTTTATTTTTCTTTGATTTTTAAACTTTCATCCTCGCGACTGCTTTTACAAAAAGAATTTTGGAAAAATTATAATATTTCGTATTAAAAAAAAATTTTAAAATCAAGCTTCCGAGTACGCGACTCACATCTCACATCTTTAAAAATGTGATTTTGGCAACAATTTTCCTGTCTTATTGTTGTTGATAGATTTTTGATGAAATCGCATCATTTGAATAATTTCATTCTTTAGAAATATAGGTTTGGCACAATTTTTCATCGTATTTCTTATGCCACTGTTTTTAAGATATTGCATATTTCATGTCATTTATAATATATATAATTCATTTTTACTGATTTTTTTTTTTGATAAAGGTGTTCTGCAGAGTAAAATTCGCGCGGAATTTATGTTTTTTGAGTTGCTTTCCTGTTATTTTTGCATATTTCACTGTTTGTAAGATATTGAAAAGTTTTGCATGATTTTTTTCCTTCAACGGAAGTTGGTTAATTTTTATTAGGATAATTAATATTTGTATTAAGGGATATAGCTTATTTCATTGTAATTTTTTCTCTGAAAATATAATATAAAATATCATTAATTTATTTGCTTTTCAGAGGTTTTTGTATTTTTATGTATTTTGCGCATTTCACTGTTTGTAAGATATTGAAAAGTGAGTGATTTTTTAGGAACAAGTTCTTAACCTCCTTTATACCATTTGAGTTCTAAGATTTGCAAAGGGAAGTGTTAATTTATTTATTAGGATAATTAATATTTGTATTAATAGATATTGCTTATTTCATTGTAATTTTGTTATATGTAATAACTTTTTTTTTTTATGAAGTTGTTTTCCAGAGTAAAATTCTACGCAGTTTTTAAATTTAACGTGGGGTGTTCCCTTCAGGCATTTTTTAGGTACATTTAAAAACCAGACGAAGGCTAGCAGCGAAGCTGCTAATTAATAATAAAATAACCCGATTGATCGATGAGCGCGATGAAGAAAATTTTTAGTAATTTCTCTCCAAGGCATTTTCGAGCTCCATAACTTTATCAGAATTGAAACGAAATCAAGTGTTACGCTGTTAGTAAAAAATAAAGCCATCTGCATTTTTATTTACTAATTGTTTTTACTTTTATTTATTTTATTGTTGGGAAAAAGTTAACAAATAAGAGAAAAGGACTTGTCATTATTTATACTCAAGTTTTGTCCCACTTGATATATATCCTTAACTTATTTACTAATAATTACTTAACTAATTTAAACTAAAAATAAAGAAATTATGAAAACTTATAAAGTTTTTATCATTTGTTTATTAGCCCAGAGGGGCGTTAGATCTAAAGGACTATTAATCTCAAAACGGCATTTTGCGTCGTTTCACATTCTGTATTGATTCAGTTTTCAAACTGTTGCCACCAAATATTATCCCCACGTATTATATTTAAAGAAACTAAATAATGAAGAATCTGCATGAATGCATTAATGTTTCTCTCATTGTGAAAAAATCAATGGTACCTAGAATTACCAAATTTTGAGTAACGTATTCCTTCAATCAAATTTGTTTGGAAGCCCGAATTTTGAATTTGTTTTATTATCTATTTCAAATTTTGTAAAACTTTAACGGATTTTTGATTAACTAATTCAACGATTTCAAAGTGAGCAATGGAAAACTGTACGGGAAAGAACATTTTTATCTCCAACGCTCGAGAATGTGTATCGGAAACTCTAAAGATATGCTGTTTTCCTGTTCTTAAATATTTTAGGATATTGCTGTTGAATTGAATTTTATGTGGCTCAAGTGCCAAGAACATGATATTTAATAAATAAAAGTAACGCATACACCCTTTTGGTCATAATTTTTTTTTTTTTTTTTTTTTTTTTTTTTTTTTTTTTTTTTTTTTTTTTTTTTGTTTTTTTTTTTTTTTTTTTTTTTTTTTTTTTTTTTTTTTTTATAAAATTTGAAACCTTACAGATTTTTATTTATTTATTTTTGTTTTGATTTTAAATAGGTCTTAGACTAGCTTAATTAATTTAATACTGAAGTTAGTCTTAATTAGTTTAATGATTAAATGAACATGTTAGAATTATTTGAAAGAAATTTCTGTGTAAGAATTCTATATTTAGCTGTTGGTGCATTTAAACTACAAAGTATAATCAACAAAAATATCTTAGAGGTGTGAAATTTTTGATTTCAAACATAAAATAAATATATATTGGAATATTTTTCCTTTGCGATATTACTACTACTATTATTATTATTATTTTCATTGTTTTTATATATTTTGATAAATTTTTAGATTAATTTAATTTAATGTTTGATTTTAATTAAATTGATTTATTTTAAAATGAAATTTATTTCTTT